TAACCAAATATGGGAGTGGAAACTGGAAGGCAGCATAAGAATACATGTGCACGCTTGTACAGAGAGCTATGAGCAGGCTTCTGATCTTCCAACTGCTGATTTCTGAAGAAATATTTCTAAGGGGTGTGGATTCTGTTCCTACGTGATTGCAGGTAAAACAGAACACACTTCTAAGCACAGACAGCATAAACCATCATTTTGAAAAGGACCAAGATGGGGTGAAGTTGAGGCAACGAAGAGTGAAGAGTACAGATGTTCAAAAGATACATGCCTATCTTTTCTATCAAGAAGAAACTGGGATTATCTAAAGCTAATCAGGCATTTGTAGCTCACAAGCAATACAAATAATTGCAATGCAAAGGTGACTGGTGGTGGTCCAGTGTGGTGCCTGGATGGTCCCTAAAGGAGCTGTTATCCTTTTTTTCAGAGACAGTGTATACATGCTGTTTTTTATCAATCTTTTGCTTTTTTCCTAGCACAATTCTTCAACAATGAAATAAAAAACCTGACTTGAACTTCCTTTAAAGTTTATCTCTCCATTGGATTTTCCCATGCAAATTTCTATTAGTTCCTGGGAACAATACTGCAGCCAAAATATCCCCTTTAATGCAAAATTTTAGCACTGGATATTCAGATAACTCAACAGAAATGTCCATATTACTCAATCTTGCCCTGCAATCTTCAACCTACTCATAAATACAGTGTGTCCCCATCTGTGCTCTGCTCTCATTGTGAATTTGCTAATTTTTCCTGTTCTTTTATTGATGGGGATACAACTTGATACAAATATCCAGATTGGGATAACAAAGACCCAGGTAACACATGGCAAAGTCTGTATAAGACAGAAAAAAGAAAATACAATATTTTAGTTACAACAAGGTTAAGTGAAGCATACATCTGATGAGTTGGGCCTGGAAACATATTTTTGTCTCACACAGCATCATTTCTCTTGGAAAACCAGTGCTTTATGAAAGATTTTCAATGGACTTGGGAAAGTGGGGGGCAAAGGGCTCCTCTGCAGCTTCTTAATGCTTGAAATCCATTCCTGAGTACTTTCATCCCTAATTAAAGGTCACCCACTGGTTCGAGAACAACTGTTAATGAAGAGTTTAATTATCCAGATGACAGCTATAAAATCCTACTCCTGTGCTTGAATATTTTAAAGCAACAAGGCCCACATTTTCAAATATGTGCTTGTAACCAAGTACTTAGACAAAAACTCTCACTGAAGAAGAGTGTGTATGAGCCATCCACATTTGCATACACAATGGGAGATTGCATATGCCCACATTAAAGATGCAAATCTGTGAGGAGGTTTGTATGTGCTTACTTGACCGTTTGAACCAGACCCACCTTTCTTTTCTGTTCTTTCATTCAGGGAGGGGGAGGAATGCTTAAATTATTCCTTGAGGATAAATCATTTCACATTGTTAACTCTTCTTAACAACAAAGCTGCATAAATTAAATGTAAGATTATCTGCTCTGTTCTCGGTGGAATGATTAGGAGGGAATCTACAGGAAAGAAATGTGGTCAAATGATTTGAAGACTTGCTAAATGGGATGCAAATCTCATCTTGCATTCTTAACAAGCTCAAATGTAGACCTGCCTTCTAATGAGCAAACTCTGCTTGGCATATCTGTGCAACCCCCAGAGCAAAGTTATAAAGAAAATGGATCATGGTTCATTTTCTCTACTGAATCAGGTTTTTGCTTTTATTGACGCCTTTGACCAGCTGCTTCTATTACCTTTACCCATGGTGACAATTTCTGTGATGCTGCCCTTAGTCTGCCAAGCTGAAATGGTCCCATTTCTCATTTCCCATCACAAGATGAGTGTTTCTCAGGGAGGTCAGGTTTGGGTTCCCCACCAGGTACATGCCTGAAAGAATGATGCTTCTATCAAACAGATGAAGAAGTTGCTTATCATGTTCTCACTGCCAGCACAGTCTCTTTGTATCACTGGTGGTGGCACCATAAGGGCAAAGAGAGTCATAATTCTTTAACTGGGCATTTTTGGGGTCTTGGTGAAGCCTAAAATGCAATGGATGGCCACATAAGCGCAGTGAAGAAAACCAGAAGGTATTACAATATTGTCTACTGTCAAGTGGTCTTTGGAGCAAGCTATCAATGGGCTCCAAAACAAAACAACTCCAAGGTTTTTTCTGTGAGTTGGAGTTAGGCTTTGACTCAGTTTTCTTGTTACCTGTGGCCTCTCTCTCCTACATGTGTGGACACATAGACACATGCTTATTTGTTGAAGCAGAATACTCCACAAAATAGAATTTCAAGCCCTGGGTGTAAAAAGGAGGGGAAAAAAATTAGAATGTATCACATAAAAAGAACCATCTATATATATTGAAAAGGAGAAAAATACCTTTCTGAGCTCTATCAATGGATAATATCTTATTTCATAAGAAATATGAATTAACAGAAGAGATTTGTTAAAAAAACCAGAACAGGTCAGCCTTAGTATGTTATTTGTTGAAGAGGTTTCAAACATACCTTTCTGTGCTTTGTTAACTCTCCAGGACCCTACAGGAGGGTTTTCTGTGCAGAGTCTCTCACCAGCTGAGCTTCATCTGTAGGTCACAGTGACCTGATTATGGAGGCTGTGCCGCAAAAATGGAGCTCTCCAGATAAGCAGTAACATTTATTGCATACTTTGTCAGCATATCTCTGGCCATACACTTGTTCTCAAGGCACTTTGTTGTGATATCGGTTTTATTAAAATGGATTTCAAAAAGGGAAATGTAAAACAGTTTAAAGATTACAACTAAACATGTTGTTCGGTGCTGAGAAAATCCACACCAGACACCAGCAGGCTTTTTGTACAATACAAATGTATCTTGCATTTTTTTCTTATACTGCTTTCTTCAAACAAAAAACACTGTTTAAAAAATTGCTACAAGCAGACCAATGTCCCATACAGGGACATTGACGCAGGTCACACAATGTCTCAAAATCTGGAAAATTAAGAATATTAAAATCCAAAGAAAAGTTAAAGCCAAGGGGTTCTAAGGACTAGAAGAAGGAGGTTTTTGTCTTGGCAACTGCACCGTTAATCTCCCAGCTTTGGAGGTGCTGCCACAGCCTGAGTTGCCACCAGAGCTCCTGAGCAGTGTGGGCATGATGACATGTCCTCTTGCCTGGGACAAGGCAAGGTGTTCAATTATGCAGGTTCTACTTGCTCTTCAAGTATCAAATCTAGCATCCTCTGGAGGAAGAGCTGTGGGCTAAGGTGGCTTCATCACTTTGGTGCTGATCTGACTCTGTACACAAGATACAATCCTGCAAGGTCTCTTTTTAGGGATGCTAATTTGTAAAGCATATTTAACTGCGTCCTAATTCTGCAAATGTCTGGGCAATGGGTTTGCATGAAGTAGATCAGATGTATCAAGCCCACGTTCCTGACAAGACTGCTTACAAAACTGGCTTCTAGACTATGATGCCTGTGCTTTCTTGAACTGCCAGGTCTCATCCTTGGCAAGTGGACAGCGCCCAGGCAAAAAAGAGTGATGTGATGCACTACAAGAATTTTCCCTATTTATCAACAAAAATGGGGTAGTATTTGTCAAATAACACCCCTCATTTTTGGCCCAAGAATAGAATCAGGAGCCTTTTTTTTAATGTAACTAGAGTATCTGTCATTTTGGAACATCATCATTCAGTCATTTCCATCAGGATGGGTTTTAATGGCTGCACACCATTACACTATATATGATATAAAGTATTTGTGAAAAAAATCATTCCTTTGAATAATCAGAAGATCTTCCCAGAGATGAACTGTCTTTCCTGCTCTTCTCTTTCGTTCTTCCTTCCCCTGGATCTTGGATGGAGTGTTACTTGTGTAATCCTAAAACAACCCCCAAAACACACTCTTTTTGATCTCCCCTGTTTTATGCACTAGGGAGCTGATAGTTCCTTCCCTGGCTAGGACTGAATGAATAATCACCTCCTGTAGTTATTCACATCAAGTTCAGATGCTGAAATGTGAAGCTGATGATGGGAGATTATGGATAGAAGCATCGAAATTTACTACTGAAATTTTATGAGTTGTAGGTAGGAAATATTTAAAGCACATCACATTTAACCATGAAGACTCCAAAGATTTATAACCTCATGGGGCAGAACTGTGAACTGTTTGAGAGGGGGAAATGAAGCCCAGAATCCTCTCTTGGTGTTTTCTTTATGCCCACATATCCACACATATCCACACAATCAGCATGAGAAAATCCTACCCATCCCTAAATCTTTGTTGCAATTTGGAATGATTAACTCTCAAAAAGTTTGATATGCAAATCATGTGAAAAGTCTGTACATTCACTGAGATCTCAGTAAAAAATCCTCTAAAATCAGGAAATCTGGATGAATTTTTTTTTTTTTTTGTTAATTAAACATACACATCTTATGGTTTATTTCAGATCTTCCAATCTGGACCATCATCTGATAATGTGCACACAAAGGTGCTTTTTTTTTTTTCTGAAGGGAAGGGGAAATCCTACAAATATTTTACAAAAAATTAGGATTTCCCATAAACTTTTATACTTTTATTCAGGGTTTCAAAAGCCATACCTAGGTCCATTGTCCTTTACACAGGCCAGGTAGGTTAATGCACTAATATCATTGTATTGTAAACCTGCCTCTTGTATCATCTTACGGCAGCCTGTTGGCCCATCTTGCCATATCCAAGGGGCCCAGACACACAAAAGTGAATTCAACCCAACTCTGTGAGAACAACTTGAGAGAACATCCTCCTTATTATAAGGGGTTTCTCCTGCCTTTGTTCTTGCGCTTTCTTACATTGAAAACAAACTCCAAACCAAACCAACTTCTAGAGACAAACTTAGATGAAATATGTTTCTCTGAGCCTGCCGATCCACCCAAAGCGACACTTCTGTGCAGAGTAAGGCAGGTCCATGCAGTGTGGAACAGAAAACATCAGCATAGCTGGAGATGTCTTCCGCCCTTCTGCAGTGGTCAACAGAAATGGAAACACAGGATATTCTTGTTCCTAGTAAGTCTGTGCTCAAGGAGGGCTTAAGTAGGCCTTCTGTCTCCTGCAAGCCCAGGAAGTACAATTAATGAAAAAACCTTAATTATTTGTCATCGTTATAACACACTTCACATGAAAAGAAATCATTGCTACATATTTTTTTCTTTCAATTGTATATAAACACTACTTAATTCTCAATAAGCAGCTAACATCTTCCTAGAATGAAGGGAATCTCTGTCTACATGGTGGGAGATACTGGTTTATGATCTAATTTCTTCCTTAAGGTAATTCTATGAGAAGACTTTGGCATTTTGGTCTTCAAGAGCTGATGAAGATGATGTGCCATCTCTGATGGTTGTTCATTGAACAAAAATAGCAAAGTGGAATTAATTTTTTCTTTCCTCATAAAACATAAATTTACATGCTATGCTGAAGTCATTATTCAAATGCACTGTTGGAAGTGATTATCATGCTGCCTCAGACACAAATCCATGCAAGTGTTTCAGTTCAAGTGATTCAGAGGAACCAATGAATAAATAGGGCCATCACTGTTTTTTGATGCAGGAGGGCAATGACCATTTCTTGTGTGGAAATTAGGAGCAGATGAGGAGGTCTCTGTTCTGTAAATCTGGGCTTGCATTTCACAGCAACCAAACTTGCTCAACAGAATGAAGAAATCCCTGCGGAAAGTCTTGGTGAAAATGGCGTAGAGGAAAGGGTTAGCACAGGAGTTGATGGGGTAAAACAAAACCAGAAGGATCTTGGATTTGGACACTGTGATGAGAGGAACCTTGAGTGAGGCTGATATTGCAAAAAAGGATATGGGTGCCATGCAGAGGAAGTCTGTGAAGATGAGTATGGCCATGCGCTTGGCAATCTTGGTGTCACTGTTGGAAGAGATCACATTGGGGTTCCTCACAGTGGAGTAGATGCAGATGTAGCACACGCATATAATCACAAATGCGAGCACATTCAACACTAAAAGACATACAACATAAGCCTGAGAAAATAGTGTTTCTATATCCATGGGCAAACAGATACTAACCTTCATGTAGCTGCTGACTCCAAATATGGGAAGAAGTGCTACTGTGAAAGCAAACAGCCAGCCAAAAACCATTATAATCACAGCGTGACGCAATCGAACCTTGCGGTGCAGCTGCATGGCATAGGTGATGGTGTGCCACCTCTCCAGGGTGATCACAGTCAGTGTGTAGACAGAGAGTTCACTCGCAAACACTGTGAAAAATCCTGCAGTATTGCATCCTGCCCCAGTTTGCCAGTCTATGGCGTAGTTGTAATACTGGCTTTTGGTCTGGATATCCACAGATGCAATAAACAACAGATAGATGCCTATGCACAGGTCTGCAAATGCAAGATTGCACATCAGGAAGCGAGGTACAGTGAGCTTGTATTGGCTGCTTATTAAAATAATGAGGACAACAATGTTCCCAGTGATAGCTAAAATGCTGATAAACCATATCAGGACTCTTAGAATGTTGTATCCCATGATATCTTCACATGGATTGAAAGCATCAGGTTTTGGTGAGCAAGCTACGTTAACTACTTCGTTGCATAAACCGTAGTCAAAGTCATGCTCTGCTGGATCAAATCCTATGCCATAGCTTGAAACATAATCTTCAGCTGCGGATTGTATCTGTAGCTTTTCGCCAGGCTGCTCCTTAAGGTCTTTCTTGGCCTGAGACATGATACATATTGGATGTAATTCGGTGCTGAAATTGTAAAAAGAGTGGAGTTGGAAGCTAAGAGACACAGTGTGAGGCATACAACACAAAATCATCCAGTTTCCATTAACAGCTCAGTTTTTCTGTTTAGCTGATTATATAGATTACCTGGAGCTTGAAATTAGTAGTCTGGCTGGTCCTTATTTATAAAATATTACAAGAACAGGTAAGTGATTTGGAAACATCATAAAATGTAAGGGAAACAAAAGCCTAATGTTTGCCTAACACCCATGATAGAGTTATCCACCTGGATAACAGCCTCTCTAAGAAGCCTCCCTTATTTGAACTGAATTTCTCACATAGCCTGTCATTGATAAGCTGATTTGTGCATGGGGGAAATACATGATGATGAATAGCAATGTAAGACTGAGCTTTGAAGAATTAGTCAATTCATCTGTGTTCATAAGGACTCTGTTGAACCACAATAATGCTATGATCCCTTAATATTATTCTCAAATTCCCTTTTTCCTAGAGGTTTTGACCATCACTGTGGCATAGTTCTGTAACTCCATCAGGGCACAGAACACCTCCAGTTTGTGCTGTTTATTTCTTAGTATCTCATAACATTACTGGCCAGTAACATAAGTAAATAACACAAATAAGCTCATGTAGGCTTCCAGATAATACCTAGAAGCCAGATGGTAACATGAACACAAGACATGGTAGACCATTTTGTTAAAAACTGTTCTTCAAAGAAAATGGATTAGAAAGCAAGCGAAGCAAACCCAAGCCAAGCCACGCCAAACAAAACCAAATCAAACCAACATTTTAATGGAAGTAGTTGCTTTTGTTTCTGCCAGAAAGTATTTTTTAAACACTCCAAGAATTTTTAGCAGCACAGGTAAATAAAGGAAAAGAGTTTCAAGGAAAAAAAAAAGCCTTTGAAGATTAACCTAGTATTTTTGATAGTTTTGTGTTTGGTTTTATTTCATAGAGTACTAGCTCTATGCCCTTCTCCATCCCTAGACAAACAAAAGAAAAATATTTTGGCTGAGATGATAGAAAGATGACTAGGTCCATCAAGTTAAGAAATATCAAGATATATTCCTGAATAGACATGAAACGAAGGGTCAGACTTTACAACAGCTTCTCCTAGGCTTTGAAGTTTGCTGTCCCATAAACTTGCGTTTTATAACTATGGATTTTATAATCCATAGTTTTGGATGCAGACCTAGTCCGAGTTAGGAAATAAAGCAGGGGAAAATGTGTTGCAAAACCAACACAGTTCAGCTCTGCCTACGTTCATCTACAACCCAGACTGCAATTTAGGTGTAAAATTTCTAGGACAGGACCCCAGCTTATCTTCCACCCTGACTTTCAGTACAGTCAAGACAAGAACTTTCTAGACAAGTTAGGCTGAAAATTTTGAACAACTGGTAGTGGCTTAAAAGGGAGAATTCTTCTTTGTAACCTAATTTTACCCTTTGACTTTGTGCACTCACTATATCTTCCAAAAATTGAGTTTAAAAGGTCTGCAAGAAAGGAAAACTAATGAGGGCCCAGCACCAGAAGGTGAGAGACATTTCCTATGAGGTTCTGAACATCCTCTACCATTATCAATATTTTTTATCTTGCCTGTCAACTGAGGCAGAAAACCGATTTTCCGTGAGGTCAAATATGCACTATGAAGGTCACAATAGCAATAACAAGGCATTACATTTTGCTCCCCTGTGTTCTACTCGCATAAGGATGAGTGAAGGGTCCACTGTATTGATCAATATATCAACAGTTCTCTAGCTGAAAGGGAATATAGGCTTCCAAGGAGCAATAACGGGACAGAAAGTCCCTCATTTTTAGTGCAACAGTCACTCATTGGTGGTTCTTCATAAATGAACTGAATGAAATGTTTGTATCCAATCATTTCTCAGCATTAGTTAAAAGTAAACCTTTTCCCAAATTATGGAGGCACTGCCTGGACCTAAATCTATTCCCTGGCAAGACTGCTATGTAAGGCCAATTAAATATTTCTGATTATTACAATTTATTAATTCTTGAATTATTTTACAGCCAGTGGTCCCACGTAGAACCAGGGTCCTGTGGAGTTAGCTGCTGTGTTTGCTCCGAGGAGGGTGACGAGGCTGGTTACCTGTACTGTGAGCAGGTAAGAGGGGCAGCTGCGAAATCCCACGGGAAGGAAGAGGCATCCTCCGATACTGACTCCATACCATATCTTTGCCCTGTGATGTTTACTCCTTGGGCTGTGCAGTGCATTCAGAGCAACAAGTCAAAACCTTGGGATGGGTGGGTCCTTGCCTCCTTTTGAGGCTGTGGGTATTGTAATACACTCCACTTATTCACTCTGTAAAACTCTGTTACTGTTTAGCATTATTTTGCTCAAGTAAACTAGAAAAATAAACTAGAGAAAGGACAACTTAGAGAATAAAATTGAAATTGACAGAGTGCTCTGACAAAAATAAACAAAAATTACTACCTTTGTACAAGTTGTTATTTTATGTGCTTTGTCTGGAACTGGTGACAGCAGGATTTTGTGTGCTGAGAAACATGCTCAGCAGAACAAATAGTCTTAACCTAGGTTCTGTATTAAGCCCTATCTCAAACCAATCATTCTCACCAAAAGGTGACATCAGGTGAGTTGTGAGCAACTGATAGTATGTTCTCATGAGACAAGGCCCAAACATGACTCCTGATTCTGCCACATTTTTTGAAAAAGTAGGATTTTAAGTGACAGGTCCTCTGAAGAATAACGATCAAGTGTAAGGACAGAGTCATATCAATGTCATTCTTTTTGGTAGAAGGCGATCTTTATGTCAAAGAAAACCAAAAGCTTACTGAAGTTCATAATGGTATATGTCAAGTTGAGAGTTTTAACATCCAACCTCTGCCCTATACACACTTCAAGGATATTATTTTCCAGTCACAGAAAAATGTGAGGGAGTTCAACACACTGTACCAGACTTAAGAATGCAGCTTACCTTCTGTTAGGTCAGCATCACAATATTCAAGCATGATCAATTCACAGATCAATATTTAGCATATAGTCCTTACGAGAATGGGGAAAACATCAAAATTATCTTAAAATTCGTGCCTCAGACTGGCAGAGCTTGATTCGACCTTCTCCAAAATTTGGAAAGCACCGTCGCTGTAACAGGTTTAAGCTTCCCATTATCATGACAGCACCTGTTCTCTGGTGCAGACAGATTTGGGGGAGGTGACCAACCAGGATTTGCTATGGCAATTTATTTTTTCTAAGAGTTTGAGTGCTGCAAAAGTGTCAAAGAGGGAAAATCTAACATAAACTGGCAGCCAGAAAGGGGCCACACATCCCTGTTTTAATTCCTTCCCAGAGTTCCCATGTGAACAGCAGCTGCTGCTGTGATCCTTAGAAATGCACTTCTGAAGGGTGATGAGGTATCCTTTTTACACTCCCTGGACTACCTGGAAGTATTCTGAGAGCCAGATAGTCACAGAATAATGATTGTCTCCTGTGAAGGTGCATGACAAGTCAGGACACATCATGGTTCCCACCACCACAAGTGATGCTGCAGCACTGAACCAAGTACAGCTCTTGCCAAAAAAATATTACATGTTGTGTGATCAAGCACTATACAAACTATTAATAACTTTTAAACAGCCTGAGCAGCCTTCAGTGCACTCACAACTTGTGCCAGCTGTCATGAAAATTGCTTTGAAATGAAAGTTGGTGTAGGTACTCTATGTGTGACTCATCTCTTTTGAAGTGTATTGTAATATCTTCAGTATTCAAACTGAACACATGTATCCATTTTCTCTCTTTAAGGTGGAGAAAGGATGTTAGTTTCCCACCAATTTCAGTACAAGACACATGACTGTATGAAAGAAATTACCATTTTTAATTATGTTAAAAAGCAGCTAACAGAAAAATTCTAGTAAATTTCTGTTTATACTTAATATTTAGTAAAAAATACATCTGGTAACTATTAAAGACATATATAAATACATTCAATTTTGTTCTGTTGACCAGGGTTGTACAGTTCATGGCCACATTCATTCAAGTAGTCCTATATCATGTGTCATAAACAAGAGCATCTCCAACTTACATATTATTTCTCCCCATTGCATCACACCTGATATTATAGGAGACTGAAGTTGTGACCAAACTTCTCCAGAAGCAGCCCCACCACTGCGTGTTACTCCAGCCCAGCTTGTTGGCCATCCTTACCTAGATTGTGTGAGCTCTGCACAGGTTTGTTGGCATTTCTTTGCAAAATTACGCTTACCCGAGCTGTGGAAAGCGCGATGTTTTATGTTCTCCTTGGCTTCTTGCCTGCCAGGGCAAAGGCCTCCAAAAGAGGGGCTATACAGGGAGAAAAGTAAGTGTTATGGTCTTCAGCTCCCTGGGATGAGTGTGTGACAAGGAAGTTATTTTAAAGCCCAAGTGAGGGGACTAGATACTGGCAGCTTACCACACGATCAGGACTGTTTCCTCCTGTAGCCTTCCTTCAATAGCAACTCTTACTCTGTTTTTGAAAAGTCCAGTTGCCTAATTTAAAGAGTGGATTCTGTGATTTGGGTCCTGTTTAGGCCCAAGCAGCCCAGAAGCCAAGTACCTTCAAAAATATGAATCGTAGTGACATCAACATTCCTTTGCAGATTCAGGATTAAACATGCTTTCATTGGACTCATTGGAACACACCACTTTGTCATCGGGGCTGGAAGGACTGGACCCATTCCTACATATAAGTTATCGAGCACTGTGTCTGCATAAGACTGCACAAGTATGTGAAAACTGCTGATAAATTGTTCTAGTGAACAGTTTAGCATTTTGGAACAAAAATGGACAATGGGAGATGGATTCTGTCAGATACTTCCCTTATCCCTGCAGTCTCCGGCATCGCACTTGCATTCTTTACGCAGACAGTTTTGCAAACACACGTAGGTGATATTTATTAGCTATCAGCACAAGCAACTCAGTTATCTTCCATTGTTTGGTGACAATACAATGCTAAAAGTAAAATAAATGGTTATTTTAAGTGTTAAAATAGAAGCTACTAACAGTTTATGCTTTTTCTGCATGGTTTTACTGTTCTTTGAAGTTTTATGCAACTTCTGAAGATGATGTCTTGATTTATAACAATGGTTCATGACTTTTTTTTTTTTTCTGCCATGGCAAAGTTCAAGTCTTTCAGGACATCCGGTAAAGGAAGAACTTCAAACAATAACAGGGGTTTCCATAGGTATCAGCTCCTCATGTTTTCCAGTGGCACAAATTCAGGAGGCTCATTAACTACTTGAAGTGTACGTTTCAAGACTGCCTGAGCAGGTGAAAATACTCAAAAAGAGTCATTGATACCTGAAGTCTCACTGCAGCTCACTAATGGAAAATTAAGATAAGCATGGAGAATTACAACTGGAGTCTAAAAAGACACCATACCCTCCCTCAGGTCCTCTGTTGATTTGGGTAAAATGGATCTACTCTAGGTTAACCATTTCAGAAGTCACGTCCAAAAACATTGTCGATGTCAACTCAACAGATAAGGTATCTCTGATGCTTGGCTTGACAGTGTTCCAATATCAGTGAGGCTTTCTGAGAGAACAGTATTTTGCATCACTCAGTGGTCCTGTTACCCTCCTGAATCGATGGACAAGTATTGACCAGTTTCTCTGCAAACACGGCTTTCTCTCCAGCTACCTCCTGAAAAGTTATCAAACTTTTTCTGTTTAATGTTTTCAGCATGGCACCAGGCTGATCCAGGACAGCAGATCCAGTGAAACATGGGCCTACAATAGGTGGGGACAGAGCTGCAGCTGGGGAAAATACTGATGGTAAGCTAACACAGCTATTAGAACTTAACAATTCCCTGTAATGTGGAGGCAGTACACTGTGTAGCATGCAAAAACCTGTATGTATTGTGTATTTATTTATTTCTATCCATTTACTTACCTGCTCTAAAGAGACCTTTTCTATCCAGACTTTGAAGAATTTTATTTAATTTACTATCAAATGCTGAAAAGCGCCACGAAGAAAAGCAAATTAAATCACTTACTTTTGTCTTTTCCAGTTTGTAAATGCACAGCAATGGCTAGGATACGTGAAGTTTGCTTCAATCAAAGATCTAAATTTGCTTAGATCAGGAAGCTTTTTTAAATTGTGTGTAGATCTTGCTCTTAGCTTCTTAATGAGTTCTAATCCATGACTTGGCAGGAAACTGATTTTCGTGCTTGAAATATCCCTTTAAGAAAACAGATGAAAATCTTGGTAAAAGGCAAATTTACTTCTGCTCAACAACAGTCTGTCCTACTCATTCTCAGAGTAGTGGTTGGAAACAGATCACCTGGAAATATACACTAAAAAAGGATCCGGTGAAAAATTAGGTGTTCCTCCAGCAAACTGAACTAATATGCATTGCAAACAACAATCAAACGATGTTAGTCTGTGAGAAATAAAGAAAAAAGTCCCATAGTGTTCTGGGTAAGAATTAACAGAGACATAAACCATTAGCACCATATGATACTGGGTTTAGTAAATACCCAGTAAATGCAACAATCATCCCAAAATACTCTTACAGGATAAACAAGGCTGATGAAATCGCAGTAGAAGTTTGCTGTATGATCATCACATCATGGGAAGGCTGTTGTGGAAAAAGCAATAAACACAAAGAAAGAAGCTCACATGGGGGTACAGATGTGAGGACAGGTTGGGTATATCAGGTTTTGTGCTCATTAGAAAGAGAAGGAGATTAAAGACAGACAGGGGTGACATTGTTCAGATTGTTAGGAACAAAAAACCCAAACCAACAAAACATTCCCAGAGGTTTAAAAAACAAATACAGCACAGACTGAAGCAAAGAATGGGACAAGATTACAGGAGGTTAGGAGAGGTGTATTTATGTGGAAGGCAATTACTGTGTTGGACAGGCTATCAGAGGCAGCGATGAAACCAGCACCCATGAATGTATTAAAGAGACCATTAGAGGGGCTTTTAAAAGGAAACACATTCTGCAAACACTAAATCTTGACTTGTGCCATGCAGGGAAGAAGGACCAAGTGTGCTCCATCTCCAGGCTGAGATATTTGGGAATCCTTCCCCATAGCTTCAGGGTGTAACAGCTGGGGCAAAATGTCTCCAGCTTTCCCTCACTGGGGCACAGACTGTGTCCCTTGGATCATGACAGCATGAGAACACACTTCTTTCTCTTAAAAGGTAAACATGAACTGCACAAAATCACCCTGTCCTCCTCCCTTAGTCCTTTGTGCACTTATGGGCTGAGACTGATCCAGGCTACAGTATTTGCTGAGGCTGCTCTGCTCTTAATTCTCCAACAAAAGACAGAATTTTTCCTTAATCGGGGAATTAAACTGAGAATATTTGTAGTTTTCTCCATGTCCCCTTGAAGATACGGTTTTCAATTCATCTGTAACAGTATGATGTCAGGACAATATGTTATTTGATCTCTATTACCCAACTGCACAAATTGTTTTTATTATCGTTTTAATACAGTAGAGTGGTGTCTTGTGAGGGGGAGACCAGGTTTTAGCAGCATGTAACGAAGTTTAGACAGTTGCTATGTACCATACACACATTTACATCTCTGTTCTCTGGTTTAAGAAACAAAATTAATGCCAGGGAAGGGCTCTGTTTGAACTCCAGCCAAACCTAACAAATTCACAGGCAGCTGATAAAGTGGTTTGTAAAATTGGTGTTGGGTAAAGATGATGTGTTCATGCTGTGCCTACATCCAGGCTCTAAAGGAATGTACCACCTTCAACAACTGGACCATGAACTGTGATAGCAGAGGAGCAAACACAGACTCCCCTTCACTGCCTTGACCTAGGGCCATAATTTCTACTGGAAGGGAAAATAGACCAGTGTATTCAAAAATACTATGAACTTCTGCAGGGCAGAATGAGAGAAGCCACACTTCTCACAGAGAGGGTTCTGAGGTCCTGGGTCTGTTTCTTACAGGAGCTGAAAACAGCAACCAATGAGAAATTTTAGGCTATCCATTTCTGACTTGGACACTTGAAGAGGTAATTAGATTGCAATGAGCAGTCTCGATTTTCACATGGGCTGACTATTGCCCTTAATGCACTGCCTAATGAAAACTGTCACCCAGAGTATATGCTCACGAGCCAACAACTAAACAGCAGTTTTCTGCCTAAATCCACAGACAGCATCACTCATGGCACCATTAAGAGCATGTGAAACTTCATAATTCTGAAAAAGAATATGGAAAATGTTTTCTTTGTCTTGTTAGCTAAAAATTGTTACCAAATCCAAACTGTTATTACAATGAGTGGAAATAATGAGCAAATATGAATAGGAATACCACTTGGACTTAAAAATAGCAAAAAGGTTACTGGGTCTCTCATAATTTTTAAATAATTTCATAAATATTAAATTTTTTTCCCACAAAAATATTTTATTCTTATTTTAACAATTTTTCTTTTTATGTTAATTATTGCACATAAATAGAATTGAGTTAGGGAATTTGATTTGCAAACTCCTGCAGGGGTTTTTTGGTATGTCTGTGAGGGACAGTTATCAATAGACCACTGGCATGCCCCCAAACAGCAAACATAGACATTGTGAGGGTGGTTCAGTAACTTACTCCACTGAGTTACCACACACAGACTTCAGTGTAGAAGTTCTTTGGGATGTTGCTCTCTAGTTAGAGGTTTGATAAGTTAAATAATCATGATGAACAAGATCATAAAGTGGCAATAGGAAATCAAACCACAAGGCATCACCAATTGGAATATGTGTTCCTGTATTATTTCTGCTTGGCTGTTAGTCATCAGCCTTGACAGCAGCTGGTGCAGGAACAGGAAAATGAATCTGACTTCTCTTCCAGTCACTTCCCTTTCCCACTGGAAGTCTCTGTTGGATTAGCAAAAATACTGACCAGCTGATGAGGTTTGAAAGGCACATACAGAAATGGTGGGAAATAGCTGCTGGAGCAGAAAGCAGAGGGCAGTAAAGTGGTTGGTGAGGATTTTCTCCATGTATCTAAACTGATCTCTGGCTGCGTTTCAGGGACTCGGCTGTTGAGCTGTTGAACTGGAACTCTCCTGTAGCCCCCATAGGTGGGTTTCCCATAGGACACAGTCAGAGAACTAAGGGCACCAGCAAAAGCTGGTGTAAGCCACTACAGCTCTGAGAGCAGCAGAAAACAATTAAATGAAACAATATGGCTGAAAACTGAAGCTATGAAACTCCAAGCTGGAAACACAGTGTATTTCTGTATAGAAGCAATATGTACAAGTGTGGGATTTATTAGCTGCTGGATTTACTTGCCTACTGTCAGCACTGAAATCTTTTAATTCAAAACTTGATGTCTATCCAAAAGAGATATTATAATTCAGCTAAGAGCAGTAAGTCTGAGAGAGGAATTGATTTGTGAAACTCTGTAGTCTGTACAAGGGCTAAGATTGGTGCTTTCTGATTATTTCTGTATCTTTCACATTATTTTAATACTCTGAATTATAAAATAGAAGTTGAAACTAATTGACTGTAGAACACTGGTTTAAGAAGGTCAAGAGTTAAACCCCCCGATGTTCATTCTAATAAAACATTGCAGTCTGCAACATGGATTTGATTGCAGCAAAACTATTTCTCCCAGCAAAGATATGATTATGGGTCAATCATTCCACAAGTGAAAGTGCATCCCTGGTGTACACTACGCAGATGGATGAGCAAGAAGGCTCTTCTTTCATGATCTCATCCAGGATAAAAAAGGTAATTTCCCATCCATGGAATAGTGGATGTATTGGTAATGGAACAGAAAACTTTTTACGCAAATAACTCAGTGTTAGAAATTGAACTATCAAATGAATCTCAACCACAGGCAAATCAATTGATAAACATCCAGAATATGACCGTATCAGTTATAGCTTGCAAAGAAAATGCATTTACTTTTTGCTACAGGAAACAATGATTTTCCTAAGAAACATCTCTGACATTACTGATGAAAAGATGCTCCACTGGCAGTCTTTTCCAAAGAATGAAGACGCTTTTAGGAAGTGAGGGAAGTGAAACAGAATGCAGTAACCCACACCATAGCTCTTTATATCATAGGTGCACTGGCCATCACAATGTGGAAACAAAATGCCTTCAGAAGAGCTCTGGACTGAACTCAGGGTTAATTTTTCTCCTTCCGTTTTAGATTTTTAACCACTCTAACACCTGTGTAAAATCTTGCAAGAGCTCCAATGACCCCTTTCACTCTTTCTGGGTGACTTTTAGTCCTCTCTGGATAAGCGGGATAGATGGGAAGAGAGAAATGTTCTGACAAATGGGTGAGACAAAAAAGGGCTCCTACATCTCTGTTGCAGCTCTTACATGTTGTGGTTTGAGCTAAGGAAAACAAGCAGTTCTGCACAGTCACAGGCATTTTCAGACCCCATGGCAAACCATGGTTTGAGATAATGGTTACTGAGATTCCTGAGCATCCTACTGCTGAATTCTCTACTGCTGAGATCTCAATTTCCATTTCACCACCCACCATCCTGTTGTAACTGTGGGATGTCTCATACCTATCTCTACAGGAGATGGGACATCCCAGTCCCTAACACTGTAGGATAGGAATTTTTCTTTAGAATTAAGCTTCACAGATACAGGGGCAGAACTTCAGTGGCAAGTAATCCAGATTTAAGCACTGAGAACCACTCACCTATTCTTCATTTTGCTCAAACAAATACCAAAAGCATTTTTCTCTGGAAAAATAACCAAAAGCAAAAGTACTACTCTCTTACACAGTTTAATCAACCATGGAGAGGAATCTTAATCTAAATCTCTCACTTGAAAGACTTCAAAACCTTGAGGACAAAGTGAAAATAAGGATCTAGACTGATTTTTTTTTTTTTTAGTATATTCAGAACTACATGTCTGGTTTTGAAGCTCAAGGTTTGTGAGATGTTGAAATCCATACTGGCATTCGTATGTTCTTCTCTGATCTTTTCTAGGTAGTCAGTAATGAGAAAAGTATTGTCCAAATATTACTTACAAAACAACAGGCCCATTGGCTCCCTGGAAGACCTCATTTGGCAATTTTTCTAGGTTGTGATTATCACTTAGATTTCTGAAAAACACAATATTTATTCTGAAACAATCTGAGATAAAAAAAATAAATCTTGCAGCAGTTACTATCTTCTAATTATCACTTTTCAGAATAGTAAACAACAGAAATAGTTACAGCTCATCCAGATATGTTCCATTAAATGCATGATTCTCAATTTCCCGAATTCCATTTTTATTTAGCCATCTGCAATAGAGAAAAGAAAAAGAGAGCTGTGTTCTTATTCATGCTTCATGACCAAAATGTATGTAATTCAAAGCAGTGAAAGGGATCTCAAGCAAATAAAATTGTTAAACGGATATTGAAACAGTGAAATTTCTATGAATACTGGCTGGTAAAATCCCAATATTTGGACAAAGACATGACACGAATAGGGCAGACGAGTGCTACCATCAGAGATGACAGCTAGAGTAAGTTTCTGAAGTAAGGACAGAGCTGGTGAAGATGCTGGCACTGCTCATGGCTCTACTGGGAAGGCTGCAGAGGAGCTGGTGTGGCTGTTCCAGGTTAATCCCAAGAGGGGTGAGACCAGGATCTTTCCTGTTGGCGCTGTCAGTGACGCTTAGTTTTACTATTTAGCAAGACTCTTTTGAAGCTCTGAGCCATGGCTTAATCTTTGCCAGCTATTAGAGAAAAAAGTCTGCTGTTTGCCATGGTCTCACATGCTCAGCTAGGCAGGTGGAGGAGGGAGACTGACTGTACTGAGCCAGGCAGGAGGGCAGAATAGGGGTGGCAGTGGTGCCAAACTGCTGTGGAAAGTGGGTGATTCCTGATGCGTCTGCTTCCTTGACAAATTACACTCCCTGCCTGCTCTGTTGCCCCAGTCCCACCTCCCCAGGCTTCTTCCCCCAAAAGGAGACACAGGTAATGAAACTGGGAATTGATGCTCCTGGGGCTTTCTGCCAAGTTTTTACTCCAGTGCATTACCTAATTAACGTTTAACGTCCTTCCCTCTGAACCTTCACGGTCCTAAAAATTTACATTTGGGTCAGTTATATTTATCATCTTTATGGTGCAATCTTTCATCTCACTTTAAACGTCATTTTGCAGCTCACGCCCTCTCCAACAGGCAATGACAGGTCTGATTGATGGCAGAAATGGCCTGATTTAATTAAACTGTCAGCAAACTTGGACATTTTTTTCCTAACTCACTTTGAAAGCTGAGCATGCAAGTGACCCACTTATCTAAGGTCTGAGGTGGTGAACTAAGGTCAGCAGGAAAATCAGTTAAGGGTCTGGCCGAAAGGATTACTCTTTTGACCATGACAGGCAGATGTACACAGCTCTGTGTCTATAATGTCTGTCAGGTCGGATCAGGAGAACTGTCACCGTCCCCTTCACTTGCAAGCACTATTAGACATGAGTGAGCAGGCACAGAGGAGAGACATGTCCCTGCTTACAGCATTTAAACATTTATTATATTAAATTGATCCTATCCATTTGTAGCTGCCAAGCTGATATATATGTTTTTAATCACAGTATTAGCACTTAGCTGCATTCTCTTACTGAACATGATGCTAATGCAATGAGATACTAAGGTCGTAAAAAAGAGTCACTGTTGCCATACAGGGTGGACTATACACACCTGTCACTTTGTCTAATAGCACTGGAATAGTAAAAAGGCAAAAAAAAATTTATCTAAATCCCAAGACCTCATTATAGTACTTATAGACAAATTTTTCTTGAGAGAAATTCTCTCCTCACTTCAACCAGCATTCTTACTGACTCCACTAAATCTTATATTAGCAACAGGTGACAATGGATGAAAAGATCCAGAGCTTGGATTAGGGGCTTTTACTCACCATTTCATGGCTATAGTAGGCTTTTAAAACATGCTTTAAAATTCTCCCAGTTCAGGAGGTCACTGCCCCTGAGGTACCATTTACACAATATTTCAGGGCAGGAAAGACCTATCTTAGAGCCTATGCAGATCTGGTAGCAAGGTGAATTTCTTCCATAAATTTCTAGCACTTTATTATCATATGTATCCTCAGTTCCCACCTGTGCTGATCCCATGCATAGCGTAAGTTCAGATGCAATCCAAATTACTGGCTTAAATAAATTCAGAGCCTGCCACAGCTAAACCTATTAAAATTGTTTCTCTGTAGAATCTGGGGGTTTAGTGGATTCTGGGTAATTTTAATCATCTTGACATGTCAGGTTTCACTAAATGATATTTAAACAAAAGTTCCTGTTGGGTTGCTGTGACTTCAGTTTTGAACAGAAAATCAGCAAATATGGGTCTAAAATGAGCTAAGTTCACCACAGCACAAGGAAAACCTAATCAGAGACTCTCAAAGGGCACATGCAGGGCCTCTGTCCCAGGGCAGAACCACAGCAAAGTCAGGACATCACCTAACAAGGGTGGTGGTGGCCAGGTCTGCTTACACAACTCTTGCTGCTCTTGCACACACTGGTGGGTGCTGGGAGCTCATGGCAATGGGGCTGTTGAGGAGGCAGGGCAAAGCAGCTGGAAGTGGACATGATACATCACCAGACCAATTTTGCTAACAAACCAGCAGCCTTAAGTCCTCAGAAAGGACTATCCTTCAATACCCAGTCAGTAATTCTATCATAGTATCATAGAATAGTTTGGACCGGAAGGGACCTTAAAGATCACCTAGTTCCGAACTCCCTACTGTGGACAGGGACACCTTCCACTAGACCAGGTTGCTCAAAGCCCCATCCAACCAGGCCTTGAACACTTCCAGGGATGGGGCACACACAACTTTTTTGGGCAACCTGTTCCAGTGCCTCACCACCCTCACAGTAAAGAATTTCTTCCTGATATAAGCAATGAGACATTCTGGGGAGAAAAGAGAAGTCAATTCCATCTGCTCAAGTGGCAAAGAGAGGTCAAAGCACAGCAAAAATCTGGGATATGTATCTCATCCCTTAGTGGTATTATGGAAATACACAGTACTTGTTGGGCAGTGCTCTGAAAATACAAAGTCCCACCTGAGCAGCTAATATTATCATTACAGGAGAGAAGATGAACCAGTGTACTTGCAATGTCATTACTTGAATATATATTTGGGAAACCTTTGTGTGTATGTGTCTGTGTGTCTGTATTTAAAACTTCAGAACTTGAAGTAGACAGAGGTTCTGCATAATTGATGGGGGAAAAGGAGAGATAAAGCTAAGTGACCTGCTACTGGCCTTTCTTCAATTATTGATGGTCTGATCTTGCTCCCACCAAAATCAACGTAAACCCAATCACTCAATTCAAATCTTGCTTGTCTGCTTCAGTATGTGAGGTAAACCACACACACAGAGGGGGAAATTTTTCCAGTCTGTCCACTTCATAGGTGAAATGAAGGCAGCTTGTTAGCAAGGAAACAGTATGTTTTGATATACAGACAGAAAGGATCAAAGAAGCCAGCTAGTTCATTAAAATACATGACTATTCAAGTCAAATGTAGAGTCATCTAACCATGCAGCTTGAAACTGCATTATGAACCAGCCTGTATCAATGCATTAACATTGCGTACAAATATACCACATTTCCACAACATCTACATATGTTTTGTCCAAGTAATAAACATCTTTGAATGGTATGTCTGCAAGTAAATATTTATGAGTCATGCCATCCTCTTGAACACAATTTGTATCACATGGACTGTTGCTGTAGGTGTTTAACCTTGACATCAGTAATTACTAAATTTGCTCTCTGCTGTGCTTTTAAAATAAAGAGTAGGACTAGAACACATCAAAAAAACCCCAAAACATTAATTTTTTTCATGTCAGGAAAACAGAATACAGAGATCTCAGGGGCAGGGGAGAAATCTAAAACATCAAATTGAATTTGGAAGTGTATGAAATAGTACTCAACTCCTGGTTTTGTTGACCCTGCTCTGGAAAAGAAATGAGGTAACAAGGAGAATAATGAATTTTCTACGTCTACTCACAGAATCACGCTTTCAGAACTCAGGCCCATGAATGAATTTCTTTCAATTACTCGTATATTGATATTGTCTTGAATATCCCTGAAAAATAAAATACATTAGATACTACACCTTTTTGTACTTCTGTGAGCCTTTCAATACAATATGCTGTTTCAAACACAGTATTTTCCCTTACATTCAATCTGAGGAAGTACTATAGGCTGAGGGTAATGATGTAAGTTTTCAAGACTTTTTTTTTTTGCAGAGCACAAATCTTCCTGATAAAAACGGATGGAACAAAACCTTTCCAACACCCCCATACTTTCCTTCCAAATAGACTGAAGTCATTAAAATGCATAAAAGTGCAGGTCTATAACCCTGAGGTGGATGAAATAGTTCCTCCAGCAAACATACTACCCAGAAAATGCAATCTGAGGGGCTGTGAGGCCACCCCTTCTCACAGCCTCCCAGCCAGAAGAAGGAAAACCATTAGCCTTTTTGGCCTGATTCAGCAGGGTACCTACCAGCCCATGAATCATTCCCCTGCTGATGTCAACAGGGTTGCTTATAAGCTTTGTATATGCTTAAGAACTTAAGACACAGAGCCCTGCCAATGCAGTTGGTTGAACTGACAAGTAGGAATTTCTGTCTTTCGTCAGTTGTGGCTGATACGAAAAAAAGGAACGTTCTGTTGCTGGCTCAAAATAGGCCTCAAAGAAGTTAAATAGTATTACTCATAATTTAGACTGGGGATATGGCTGTTTCCATGCTGTTTCTGTTGGAAAGCACAGAACGAAATTAATTGTCCGCAAAGCTTGAAATTAAGCGTGGTTCCAAAATTATCTCATGCAGCCACAACTCTTTATTAAGTGACACTTACAGAGAGGCTTCATTCTGCAAACTGAGGTCAGCAGAGGCAGGAATAGGGAGGGAGCAAGGTACCCATACAAGAAAACTGTATCCCTCTGCTAAGGATCTGCACGAGCCCTTTATAAATATCAATGCCCTATCCAAACCTATTGTTGGGACTTAAATATTGGCACAACTGAAGGCAATGGTAATTTTCTTATTGACTCCAATGGGACCAGGGTTTGAACCAAGGCCTAGTTTGGGACTCAAATGGTATCAAGGTCTTCTTATTCTTGCAGGAAAGTGAGGAGTTTCACCTGAAAAAAAGCACCAAATAACTCCTGCTCTGCAGGACACAGTAATTCCACTCTAGTTAAGACTAGGGATACCAAGGGATACAGGTGGAAGGCTCTGATGCATTTGCTTGATGGTTTTGAGGAGCAAAGTTCTCAGAATTACCTATGTCAAGTGTATTACAGAAATAGATTTCTTGTCTTATATGTATGTATACTATAGTCAGACATCTCTCTCTATGTTTTATATGCAGTTTTCTTTATATTAATGACTACAACTAGGACAATTGCAGGATTAATGTTTCTGCAGCTAGAAATCTTCCTATCGAATATCTGAAGATGCAGAACTTTGCATGTGAATTAACAATAAATCTTGTCCAAAAGAATGCTTTGAATTATACTAAGAACTGATTGAAAAATATATGTCAAAATTTTTTTTGGTGAAAAAAAATCAGTCTTTTTCTGATATGCATTTTTTAACAGAATAAAAGGTGCTTTAACAGAAAAATAGCTTGTTTTCACACAGAATTTTACACAAATATTTTTGTTCCCTGTTGGCACTTGAATTTTCTATAGAAAAAAATTTTCATTCTCTGGACGGTTTTACTGCAAGGGGAGAAAAAGGCATGGTAAAGATAATTCCCTGAGTTTAGAGTTTTTTCTTTTTTTTTTTTTTCTTTCTTCTGTGATGTGGCCACCTTTCATGGAACACGGCTCTGAGATCAGTGACTCTTCCCATGCTGGCCAGAAAACTGTCACCAGGTGGCAATAAATTTCCACTGCCACCATCCTGATTTGGTTTTCAACTTGTGAAAGAGTAGTAAAAGGCTGTTACTGTCCCCTGGGCCATCCAG